GCCCGCCGCCAGCCCCCGTGCCCGCGCCGCCGGTGGCTGGCACCCTCGGGGGTTTTCTTGCACCAATTCTGTTGTCTCTGGAGGAGGCAGAGCTGGTCGTTGCTCTTGCCGGACTCCAGGTCTTTAAGAAACACAGTTTCTGTCACTCTGGAATTCATTTACTTATTTTTTGAAAAGATTTACTTGTTGATGCACACAGAAGTGGGGTGCAGGCCAGAGGTGCGGTGGGGCGGGGAGAGGCTTCACCAGAGACCGTGGGGAGCAGGACAGGCCGAGTGACGGGGTCCACTGCCGAGGGGAGCAGCAGCGACTCAGGAGAGGTCTGCCGGGCCTACCCTGGGGGACCCCTGGGGCGGGGATCGAACTGGTGCTCAAGCCTTTAGCTTCTCAGTGCTGGGCCTCACCCCGCTGCGCCCAGGGGGGCCCACTTGTCTCTGATGAGTAGATGAGCAACATGATCGTGTGGGAGCAGAAGCCCGGGGCGCACAGCTGCCTTGTGTTAAACAGAGACCGCGAGCTCTGAAGGGGCCTGCGCCTGAGGCGGGCGCCGGGATTAAGAAAGGGAAAGCGGTGCTTACTGTTCCTTTAATTTTCTTTTGATTTGCTGAATACCGAGGTGTTGCGGACTCTAGATGTGTTTACCTAGAAAGTTACTTTAGAGCAGGCTGCGTTAGTTTGCAACCAAACTACACTGTTGTGGTGGGGCAGATGCTTTACCTGTAGTGGTCTCCCTTAGTGTGACCGCCGGAGCTCGCTACCAGCATTTCCGACTTCGGAAATTTAGAATTTTGATGTAATCGCACACGCGGAGGGCGTCGCTCAAGGGCAGGGGCCCGAGTTCTCACCGACTCCCACGCTCGCTGTCCCACATTTTCGCAGTCTCCCCTGCGCCACCGTCCTCCCCTCCGGGGCCTGCGCTCACTCTCCTCCGGTATCTTTAGAGCCCAGATTCACGCCTCAGCCTGTCTTTGCTAACCTCACTTGGATTTTTGTAGAGAAATTGAGGCATCCGGTTTGAATACACTATCGTCTTAACCCGCGCCTTCCATAGGGGGCGTCTTTGCCTTTCTGGACACCCCCATACCTGGGATCACATAATAGGTGGCATTTTAGTCCTGGCTTTCGACTCACCGTGAGTCTTTGAGGTTCGTTGATGGAATATTTAGTCAATCTTTTTTTTTTTTTTAAAGATTTATTTATTTGTGCATACAGAGCTGGGGTACAGGCCAGAGGGTCAGGGGTGGTGAGAGGCTTCACCAGAGACAGAGTGGGGAGCAGAACAGGCAGATCTACGAAGTACACTGCTGAGGGGAGCAGCGGGCGGGTCAGGAGAGGTCTGCCGCGCCCTGTGGTCACCTCCGGGGCAGGCGGGGATCGAACTCATGCGGAAGTGGTTTTAGCTTCTCAGTGCTGTGCTTTAACCCGCTGCGCCACCAGGGAGGGCCTCAATCTTTTGTTTTTATCACCGAATCGCAATTTTAAGAGGCACCACATTGGTTCACAGACAAATGGATGGGCGTCTGCTTAGATTTGGTGTTTTTATAATATTGCTGCTGTGGCCGTGTGCGTGCGAGTGTTCTGCGGCTGCGTTGGGATCTGGAGGATTGAAATGTGCTGAGTCACGTGGCTAAGTGTCTGCGTCAGTGTTTAAGAAACGGCTTTTAAAGTGACCGCATGACTTCAGGGCCTCCGCGAGGCACAAGGGCTGTCTCAGCACTATGCGTCTGTCTGCAGCCCGAGTTCGATTCCTGGCCGGGGGGTGACCCCCAGGGCGCAGCAGACCTCTCCTGTCTGGCCCTCAGCAGTGTGTCTCAGTAGATCCACCTGTTCTGCTCCCCGCTCTGTCTGGTGAATCCTCCCACCGACACCTCCGGCCTGCGTCGCAGCTCTTGCGTGCAGAAATAAATTAGAGTCTGTCTTTTTGGTAAAGCAGCCCGTATCTCGTGGTGGATCCAGTTTGTTTCCTGGCACCAGAGGCTGGCCCCAGGCCTTGGTTGTGGCCCTGTCTGCCTCCCTGGAGAGACACGTCTTCGGCCTCGTGTTATCTCCCGTGTGTGTTAGAGCAGAGCCTGTAATCCGAATGCAAGTCGGCTACCGGCTGGCTGTTGAAGTTTTAAAGCTGGCTTGACAGTCTGCTGCTTGGATGAGAGACTGCATTCTAAGTAACCTGCCCTTGCCTGTGGCGCGTTTCCGGTTTCATCTGTCAGTTACATCTAGGTGGTGGCTGGAGGACTGACGACTGCGCCTGCCCCCTCGGCTCCCTCCCCCTTCCCTCAGGGTGTGTTGCGGCCCCTTGGGGCTTTCTAAGAGTATCTTACCTGATCACTCCAGCTCTGTAAATGTCCAGTGCTGGTCTTATCAGACGTAAGGCACCGTACATAACCATCTTGTCTCTCTAACAGGACATGTCTAGGTGTGACTGTCCTTGTGTTAACCCTACTTGAGATTAGTCCTTTTCATCAAGTTTGAAAAATGGGAACTAGACGCCTCCCGCCCAGGCAGTCAGCAGTCGGCTCCTGGCTCCTGCTCGGAGGTGCAGGGCACCCAGGCCCTGCTCAGGGGCTCACTGGCCACTGTCTGCTGTCCCTGCCAGCAAGCAGGTGTGTCTGCCTGACGCCAGACTGGGGCTGGCGAGCTGGCCGGAGGGCGGGCCGGGAGCCGGGCGCCAGCCTGCAGGCGTGGCTTCGAGGCAGTTAGGCGGGCCTGCAGCCTGCGCGGGCTGGCCAGCTCCTTGGCCCTGGGCGCCTCGTGGGACTCACAGTGGTTTTCACCAGCCCTAGAAGTGCTGATGGTGTGTGTGCAGGTCGCTAGGTCTGACGTGGGCAGAGCACGTCTGGATCGGCTGCGCCCTTCAGGGCCGAGCAGACCGCGGGGTGCTGGGGGCATGGCCTGGGTGGGCCAGGAGCAGTGAGTGCCCCCCCGCTGCAGTTGGGGTGTTGTAAGAGGCCCCCGCTGGGCCTGCGCGGATGGGCGTGGCGTGTGAAGCCCCCAGCTCCACAACTCTCAGCCCAGAGCAGCCAGTGCCAGCCCAAACTCCACGGCCTCCACAGCTCCGGGCCGGAGCAGGTGGAAACCCGGCACCTCTGAGCATGAACCCAGAATGAGGCCTAGGCCAGCGCTATGGGCGCGTCGGACACTGTCCAGATCTAAACTGGACAGGAAAAGTAACTGTTCACAGGTTCAGAACCAGGGGAGGCTGAAGCCATGGTTTCTTAGCTCCCAAGCAGCGCGCTGCGCCCCAGCTGGCGTGGCAGGAGAGGCCGGGGGGCTTGCCTCGGGGAGCTCAGTGCGGCTGCCTGGCTAGGATGGGACCCCCATTTGGGCAGGCGCCAAGGAGCCCTGGCCACGGGGTCCTCGGCCGGGCAGCGGCCTGGCCTGCATTGGCCTGGCCTGGCGACGTGACCCTCCCGAGCCCCAGCTCGGGACACCCCACTCAAGCCGTGGGTGAAGGTTTCCTGGGAGCAGCTGGCCGCAGGGAACTGGGCCGTGAGGCAGAGGGGACGCAGCAGAGGCGAGAGCCAGCGCCGGCCGCGGGGGCCCGGAGGGCCGTGCACCGGGGCAGGGGCCGGCTTCTTGGCCGAGGCCCCGTGCACAGCTGCAGGAGACGCAGGGCTGTCATCTCCCTCTGACCAGTTAGGAAGCTGCCTCCTCCCTGCCCTGGAGTGCGGGGGCCAAGGACCCGAGTCCAGTGTCTGTGCGGCCCCGGCCAGGGCAGCCGACAAGGAGGCCGTCGGCGGGAGCGCCCGGCTTTGGAGCCCAGGAAGCCCACCCGCGGGAGGCTGGCCACGTCCGGGGCCCGAGGTGCTGGCCGGCTTCTCCCTGTGCCCGCGGGGCCCAGCCCCCGGGGAGGGCGCTGCCCTGCCTCAGATGAGCCACACCCTCACTTCCAGGAGGGCCAGCCGGAAACTGCCCGTTTCCTTTTCGGCACCCCAAGCCCTCTCTTCAGAAACACCAAACGATGCCGTTTTCGTTTGTTTCTTAAGAACACTCAGAGGTTCCCTCCTCCACGGCGGACCCACGGGAGGGTTGCAGGCCTGGCCGGCAGAGCAGCGGCGCCTAGCCCGCCACACTTCCCACGCTGCAGGGGCCTGAGACGGCTCCTGGCGAAACGGGGCTGGCGCTCGGAGGAACACAAGACGCTGCTGGCACGGGGAGTGGCCACGAACAGTCTAGTATCTTATTAGGTATCTGAATCTGTTAGGAAAAGAGTTAGAAACTATGTATAAAACTTAAAAATATTCAAGTATCAAAAGGCGAGTCAGCTCCAAGCCTAAAACAAGCCGTCAGCAGGCTGCAGCCAGACGGAACTTACAAAAGTTTACTGAGGTGGTTGAGCAGAGCGGGGGTGAGCGTCGGGGCGCCTGGGGGCGGGGCGGAGCCCGGGGACCCGCAGCCGGCCCAGGGCCAGGCCTCTGCCAGCCCAGCAGGGGCCCCGCTGTCCCAGTCCGGCGGGCGGCAGGGGCTGGCCCCGGGGACAAGCCGTAAAGTGCACGCCTGGTGTCCCCGGGCTGGCGTCCAGCTGGACACCGCGGGGCGGCCTGTCAGGCCCGGGGCGGGAGAGAGGAAGGCCCTCGTCTGAGGGCGCCCGGCGAGAGGGGCGGGCGGGTCCGTCCCGCAGCGCCCAGGGGGCTTTGCGAGCCCGAGGCTGGCCGCGGGCTGAGCCAGGGAGGGCGCCCCGGGGTGAAGCAGCAGCGTTTATTCAAGACACGGCAGCGGGGGCCTCCGCGCCCCGACTCCCAGAGGGGGCGCGTCCTGGTCCAGCAGAAACCGTTGTACTCTGGTAAGTCCAGTCCGTGGAGACCACTCCCGCGGCTGTCGGCCGGGCCCCGCTCACGGCCGGCGCGGGGGCTCCTGGCAGGCGCTGGCCCTGCACCTGCTGTGCTGAGGGTTGGCTCTGCTCTGCAGACCAGCCCTTCCCAGGGGGCTTCCAGGCCACTCTGTCCGTCACGGGGACGCAGGCCTGGGCCTCTAGACCTCCGTGGAGAACAGGACGCTCTGTCTCTTGCTGTCCGGCGCGGGGATGGCCTCCAGCTGCAGGAAGTACAGCAGCACCTGGACCTGGGGCAGCGGGAGGGCGGCTCAGTGGGCAGCCGGCGGGCCCAGCCCTGGCCACAGCCGCGAGTCCAGTCCAGGTGTGGGGCCTCGCGCTGCCACGAGCCCCTCAACGCCGGGCCTGGCCCCGAGTGACCACTGGGAGGCGCAGGTCCGAGAGGCCTGGACACTGGTCGCCCCCAGAAGCAAGGCCCACCCGCGCCTCTGCCCCGCCCCCACCTCAGTCCCGCAGGGCTGGAGTGACCAGCCCACGGGGACGGGCGGAGCCTACCTGGGACATGACCTCCAGGGACCAGCTGTCCGTCATGGAGATGGGCTGGCTGGGGTTGGCGGGGAGCTTGCTCTCCTTCTCCGAGGGCCTGAGCAGCGTGGGGCCAAAGACCGTGGCCAGGTTGTGCAGGGACATCTTGTTCACCGCCTCCTTCTCCGCCACCCTGCAAGGGCCGAGAGAGGACGCTGACCGAGGGCGCCCCTCCCTGGGCTCCTCGGGGTCTGTGAGGGCGCAGGCCAGCGGGGCCGTCGCGGTCACTGAGGGCTTGAGCCAAAGCAGCTCTCGCTTCTCGCGAAGCAGGGAGGGGGACAGAGCGGGCCCCAGACAAGGCCGGGGGAGAGCGATGGCGTGCGGCATGGTGGACGCTGGCCTCGGGGCCGGCCTACCTCTTCAGGTGGTCCAGGAGGAAGAGGAAGGTCACCAGGTTGGCCTCCGGGAGCGACAGCAGCAAGGTGAGCATGCAGCTCTCCTTCGCTACGGGGTCCGACAGAGCTACAGAAAGGGGGGGTCACTTTCTGGGGCACACCACAGACTGGAGGCCTCTGCGGGGGTTGGGGCAGCGCGGGCAGCACCTTAGGGCCAGGAGGCCTGTGGGCGGGCGGCGAGGCTGCCCCCCCGCGCCCCCCCGGGTCACTGGCCATCCCGCCTCCTGCTGGAGAGCCGGTGGGGGCCGCGCAGAGCCCCACGGAGGGCCGCGAGGTCCGGCCCCAGGAGCGGGCTCCCTGTGGACGCCGGCCTAGAGTCAGGCCAGGCCGGGGCGCCCACAGCTAGGCGGGTGCGGGGCTGTACCCCTGCACCTCCAGAGGGCCGGGCAGCGGGGTGCACGGCTCTGCCCCACCTCCCCACTGACGGCGCCTCACGAGCAGGCAGGTGGGCGACACCCCCCAGGCTCACCGATGCCCTCCGTGAAGTTGGGGTAGAACTCGTCCGTGAACAGGGGCTCGGGCAGCTCGCGGAAGTACAGCTTCAGGGTCCCCGCGATGGCGTTGACGTCCATGTCGCTCATCATCACCGACACGTCCTTGTTATCTGCAGACAGCGCGGACACGGTGACCGCACGGCCCGCCTGGGGACCCTGCCGAGCCAGGCCCCGGCCAGTCACGCAGCCTGCGCTCCCCAGCTGGGCGCCCTGGCTGGAGGGACAGCTCCAGGCTGCAGGCCAGGCCCACGCTGGCCACCTGGGGGAGCTGCGAGTGTGGCCTGCCCGGGGAGGGCCGCCTGGCCTTCCAGGCTGGGAGGGAGGGCCCGCCCGGCCCGGGCTCTGCTCTGTCCACCTTGGGGCAGCGCCCTCGTCTGGCAGGCAGCGTCCTGCTCACTCACCCGCGAGGGACACGGCCCCACGACACCAGCCAGCAGCGCTGGCTCACCTCAAAGCCCTTAGCTCCGCGTCAGCCTCAGAGCAGCCAGGCTGGTCCACCCTCGCTGACCCCTGGGTTTCCACAAGCAACAGGCCAGGTCCCAGCGAGTGGCTGCCCGGCCCCCTCGGTCGGAGCCAGGGGCGCGGGGTAGGAGCTGGGAAGCCCAACATCTGGCCAGCCACAGCAGGGCACCCCCCCCAAAGACCACACTCACTGACGTCGAAGGCTGCCTTGAGCGCTTGGATGTCCGTGGCCACTCCGGACACGCGGTAGATGCCCACTTCCTCCATGCCACGCCGCTCGATCTCCTCCACGCACTGGCGCACGATGTAGGGCACCTTGGAGCGCTCCCGCCTGCAGGGAGGGCGGGCAGCAGGCTGGGCCGGG